ATCATCATCATCATCATCATCATCGAGGTCTGCTAATACTTCAGCAGCCTCGTCGGCATCCGCCTCTACGTACACACCGTTCCTAAGAACCCATAATATCGGTTCTTCAGCATTGTCGTGATCCTGCAGTGGTAGCAGGTCACCCTTTACAATAGGCTCGTGACTATCGTTGGCTATTGCCGCATCGAGCGAATCTACAATTTTTTACTTTTTTATTTTCACACAAATACCATTTGAGCGGCTTCTGTACTTTATCATTATTACCTGAGTTGTGCTCGTTAGAATCGCTGGAAGCGGTGGAGCGGTTGTCGACATCATCCTGGTCGTCGTCGTCGTCTTCGCTGGCGTCCGACGTTATAGCCATGAATGCATCTGTAAAAATGTATGAATAGCACAACACATTTTTTTTGTTTCTTTTCGACGCTGTATGACACATACCCCATGTGCCGTAATGCGTTTCTTCTTCTTCTTCTTCTTCAGCCGTTTGTCTGCTCAGCGTTGTCGCTGGTCCTGACACTTTCTTTTTTAAAATAAAACGTATATTAGCCGTAGACTTTTTTGTTTAAAAGTACATGCTTTACCGTTAGCGTACTTCATCGTCATCGCTGTACTGGTGCTTGGCTCCGGGTAAATCTCCTCCTCTACACGATTGAGGTACCCTAAAAGCAACAGATCCTCCTCCTGGGGTGCGTCGTCGTTGTGAAATCGCGTCAATTCTTGTAAAATTTATTTAGTTTTAAAAAGCAGTTTATTTAAGCAATATTATCGATAAGTGGAAAATACATACCTTCGTGGAACGCATGATCAGTTATAATAGCCCTGGTGATACGGTTATCGCGCACTCCCCGTTTGTTAATACATGCTACGGCTAAGGAGAGTATGTACGGATCGTTTCTAAAATACCCTCTCTCGTGACCCCTGGCTAGCACGCGAAGAGTGCAATGGGCAAATACAGTTTTTAATCTAAGAGTTAACGTGCGTAAACCAAAGTATCTTAATTCTCTGCACCACACCAGCGAGAATAATCTCGCGTTTATAGGTGTTATCAGACGCCGGGTCTTTACAAAATCGACAATACATTCGCGAATATGTGTTATAGATGACATTTTTTTTGTAAACTGTTGATTGCTGTAGGTGATCAGTCTGTCTACCGGGACGTCGTGATACGAACTAAAGCAGGGTACATCTAGCCCGTGCCCGTCTTACAGGCGTCGCGATATTAATTTCAAACCAGTGCACTATGTTTTAAAATGTGACCATGCAAAACAGCTGATTCAGCGGAAAAAATTACGATTCTCTTATGGCAGCGTTATCCGTCGAAAATCAAGTAAAATCGGGTAAATCGTTTCAATCGTAACAAACAGCCAAATATATTGTAACGTTTATCTTTATTGCAATTTCGGACGCTCCTTATGAGTGTACGAAATGGGATGCAGGTAAGTGCTCGGGGCTGGCGTCTTTAAGAATGTAGTCGACACAGGTTGGTAATGTAAAATAAAATAACAAAATTTTATTAAATAA